CCCCCCCCTCCCCCGCCCCCACACACACAATCTAGGCGAATCTCCACTTTTGGGGATATTCTACGAATCCCATGGATAGCGACAAAAATTCGTCGATCCCGGGCCGCCGAATAGCGTCAAGGCTGAGCAGTGAGACATCTGATATCCAAACTACTCCAAATTTCAATGGAAAAAAGCGGGACGAAATCTTTCGTGCTTGCGAAACCAGAGATATACATGCACTGGCCTCTCTTTGCTTATCAGAGGGAGGCTTACTGCAAGATGATCTCCGCCAGGCTGCGTGTAAGATTTCCTTTCCAATCCATTTCTTCCCCTCCATGATAATCCAAAGTTTATATCTATTCAGAAACTCACATCACTACGATCTAGGGCCTATCCTATTGGGATACGATCCCAACTCAAATCATCCCACAGGCTCCGAGTGGACAAAAATGCCTGTACATGACGATGAGGAGCAGGTGAAATTGGATGTTGATCGGTCCTTTGTACATTACCCAAATTGTATGGACCACTGCATTAGTCAAAACCTAAACTTGTCTGAAAAATAAAATAGAAAATGGGAGAGCCACTGACGTAAATCTGCAGGCCAAAGCGAAAAGGAGCTAGATGGGAAAAAGAAACAACTATCAGAACTGATAACTAAAATCCTCAGAAAATATCCCATGTTATGCTATTTCCAAGGCTACCATGACATCGCACAAGTCCTGTTACTGGTCCTCGGTGTCGAGCAAGCTAGCAGCGCACTTGAGCGAATATCCCTCTTCCGGATACGGGATTACATGCTCCCAACGCTGGCACCAGCACTTAAGCACCTCCATCTCATCCCAGCTATCATCCACTCCTCCGACCGCAAACTATACCGCCATTTGTCTGGCACGAAACCCTTCTTCGCCCTTGCAGCAACCCTTACCCTATTTGCCCATGATATCCAAGAATACTCAGACATAGCTAGATTATATGACTTCATTCTGTCCCACGAACCCGTCGTATCCATATACCTCTTTGCCGCTGTAATCCTCTCGCGGAAAAAGGAACTCTTCGAAATCCCCCTTGACGAGCCGGAAATGATTCATTTCACACTCTCGAAACTGCCCCACCCAATAAAGCTCGACGGCCTGATTTCCAGCACCATGGAGTTGTACTCTACTCATCCGCCCGAGAAACTGCCCTTTCGCGTATGGAAGAAAATCCCCCGAAGTAGCGTGCTTAAGACGTCACGGGATCTTAGTCTACAGGCGATACCAAAGGAAGCGATGGAGCTGCTAGAACAGCAGAAACGAGATATACGGCGGGGGGAGCTACGGGAGAAGGCTGTGCGGGTAATGTGGAAGTATAGACGACCCGCGGGTTCGATTGGATTGGCCGTATTTGTTGGTGTTCTTTCATACTGGATTATGAAGAACGAGAGCAGTACCATGCCTGTTTGGCGGCTTTTTTGGGGACGATTTAGGAGTGCCTTTCAACGGCTGTAGGCGTTGGATGTCGGGGTTAAACCCATAAAGGATTTGTATTGTATATTAATTAGGGACCGGATTGGACTTGGGTTACTTATTGATGGCTCTATATCTATATTATTATTATTACTTCCTATCGCAAACATTATCGTTTATTTTGATACTGCGTTGCGTTGGGGGAAGCCTTTTTTAAAGTGAATATTCCACCTATGCGTGGCAATAAGCATGACGTTGCTTCCCAGCTTCATCTCGATTCTGATACATTATCTGGCAACGCTTGCAACATCAACCACATCACATAGTCAAACAGCAACATGGCCAACCGGGGTTACGATGTTGTAGTCGACGTCGATGCTGAGGTGATTACGATACGTGTATACCGTATTTTTTTGACCTTTGAATTTATTTTCTAACTATCCTAACAGGGTGACCTTGGGCATACCGACCTCCAAGAAGACCTCGAATTCCACGCATCAAGTACGTCTTAGCATCCAACCCCCCCAAAATACGACAAAGCGAACATTCAATCACTCTCTATAAATCTCGTCTCTGACATTGCTCTGCGTATATAGACTTCGAAGAAAACCCCAGCGCAGCCAAACCCCACCAGGTCGATACATCACCTTTCCTAGAAGGCGCAGGCGGATCCTCTTCTCGCCCTCCAAAGCAAGCTCTCCCAGCGGTATCCCATCCAAATACCGCTTCTGGACCCTAGCCTACTACTCCCAATTCTTCGACGTCGATACCTCCGAAGTCCTCCGCCGCTGCGTCGCGGCCCTCTACCCACGCACGAACTTCCTAGACGTCCTCGACGGCAACCCCGATCTCTATGGACCCTTCTGGATCGCCACGACTGTCGTCGTCATCCTGTTTCTCACGGGTACTGTCTCGCAATACCTAGCCCGGAAGGATGAGAAGCACTTCGAGTACGATTTCCGCCTGTTGTCTGGTGCCGCGGGGCTGGTCTATGGATACACGGGCATCATCCCAATTGCGCTGTGGGGGGCGTTGAGATGGTTTGCGAGTGCGGGTGGGGGTAGTGGTGCGGATCTTGTGGAGTGCTGGGCGCTATACGGGTATTCAAATATGGTGTGGATTGCGGTGGCATTGGTGAGTTGGAGTCCATTGACGGCGCTGAATTGGGTGCTGGTGGGTGTGGGGTATGGGTGGTCGGTGTTTTTCCTGTTGCGGAATATGTATCCTGTTCTCAGTGCGACGGATGCAAAGACTAGTAGAGTACTGTTGATTGCGGTTATTTTGCTACATGTGGGATTGGCGATTGCGATTAAGATCCTGTTTTTTGCGTGAGTGTTTGAGCTCTTTTCTTTGTCTTGCTTCCTCGACCTCCTTTCTTTCCTTTCTTCCCCCCCTTTTTTCTCCTTTTTGCTAAACTTTGCGTTACTTGTTTAGCCACGGAAGCCCAGTGTCAGACAAGAATAAGGATAAGGATAAGGATCAGGATCAGGACGGCGATAAGAAGGACGATACCAAAGATGATTAAACGGGGGCGGATGCGTTATGGGATATGAACACGCTACCGTGATATCACTGTGACCGGGATAATCCTTCTCTAATACACCCCTCCCTCAACTACTCACCTTTTTGAAAAACAGCTATGATGATTTTCTCTCTATCATCTGATTACTTGTTACAACGTAATATTGTCTATTTTGTTGTTTTTGTTCCTATATCCATCAAGCGGATCGGGGATATGTACTTTTAGGACGCTGTCGGTTTCCTTTGCTTATCTTTTCCTTTTTTTGTATTTGCGTCACCTCCAGCCTTAGATAGGCGTGGTGATATATATGATTTTTAGATAGAGAACAAAAGGAACCCCAGAGTGGATGGGCCTATGAACTTGATTCGGGTATGGCATCTGCCTGTCCCTTAACGCCGCGACTGAGATAGACTCCTCTTTCGTTTATCCACGTGGGCGAGATAAGGATTTTTAACCATCCGGGGCAGAAGAGAAAGGGAGAAAATCGAAATTCCGAAGGTTGTAGATTCTTCAGGGCTTTTCTTATAGGGACAAAGTTTAATACTTTATTGTTTCTTTTTAAAATCCACCTTTATCCCCAGTGGGAAATAAAACGCCGCAAAGATCCACGTTACATGCAACATGCAGGTTAGTGGGTCAAATCGACCTTCAAAACCGAACACATCCATGACTTAACCAACCCCCACCACCTACACACCCCGTCAAATGAGGAAAATGAGGAGGAAATGGGAAAAAAATGGAAGGAAGGACAATCATAATAGCGAAACCAGACAACCGATAATATTGAAAACAATTATAACTAAATCTACTTGAGCTTCTTCTTTGGTCGCAGTTGGTTGGTGTGACCGCATTTCTTCTTTCGGCAGTTGGTGGCACGGGGTGGAAGGCGGGCCTGTGGGCGAATTACTGTCAGTTACTTCTTCTAGTGATATATTTTCTGATAACGTGGAAGGGGATCTGGTTTTTCCGGCCGATAGAAAGTGAGAGGAAACAAAAAATGAGACTGTGTGAGAGAGAGGGACGAGCCCAAAGTGAAACTTACATAGCACTTCCGGCAGATCATCTTGTCGCAGTTATACTTGCTGGCGAGGGCCTTGAGCGAGGGCTCGATGATACCACCACGCAGGCGGAGGACGAGGTGGAGGGTAGATTCCTAGGTTGAGCGCGGAGTTAGTAAAGCCATTTCCAATTTAGCCAAAATTTCATAGATGCAAGTCGTTATCCTCCCATGTTCCAACGCCGGACCCACCTTTCAAATGGTGCGATTCGAACCCTCCGCCCATCATCAACATTCAGAAGAACATTCTCAGCTCCTTAAAGCATTAAAACCAAGAGAATTAATTTCATGCGTTCCTCTCCGACAATCCACCTCCAATACTCAGTTTGCCACCAGAGTTCAATCGCTTCAAGACAACCTCCCCCCAAACTACCCCAGGAAGAATAAAAGAAACCCTACCTTCTGAATGTTATAATCACTAAGCGTCCGGCCATCCTCAAGCTGCTTGCCCGCAAAGATCAATCGCTGCTGGTCGGGTGGAATTCCCTCCTTGTCCTGGATTTTACTCTTGACATTGTCGATGGTGTCGCTGGACTCGACCTCGAGGGTGATGGTCTTGCCCGTCAGGGTCTTGACGAAGCTAATGTTTTTCAAAAATTACATCTCGATTAGCATATTGCCTTCCCATTCCATTTGTTTTGCTCTTCTTTCTTGGGTAGTGATCAGGTGGTGTTTAGAACATGGTTTGTTCTCCCAGTGTTTTGGGCTGGGGTTCGATGAGGGGCTTACATCTGCACTGTTTATGAGGAAAAAAGCACATGTTAGATATTATCGGATTCATATTGGAAACCAGCATAAACAGATAATAGTGACACAAACTTACTGGTTGCTGATACTCGTCAGTTCGCTGGATAGGTTTGTTCGTTCTCGCCTCTCTCTGGCACCTGGGATGGCTCAAGACCAATTTGTAGATTCTTTCGCTTAGCGCGTGGGGGTCGTGACAAGGTCGTACCCTAAGCCCTAAGGTTGCCAATTTTGGTCAATCAACATGTTGCCCTAATCGATACTACAATTGGGAATTGACATCTCTGACTTCTATTTTAATAGGTATGAATGACTTTAGGTGAATTAATGATTTCTTTAAGATGGATTAATAAAGTGTTTTCCTTGGCGAGTGCTTTATTGTTTTAAATAATATAGTTTTATTTAACTAACTAAAGTAAATGATATCTCGCATGAGGTTTCATCTCCTGTGGCAATAGAACAGACCATGATGACATAACAACGAGAATAGCCGTCAGAGAACATGATTGTTCATAATTGTGACGACTGTATCTCGGCTTCCTCCATATCTTCATCTCCGTCCATGTATCCAACCCCCTCTCCTTCCTCTTCGTCATCCCATCCTTCATTGTCCTGCCCCGAAACACTCGCACTAGCCATACCCACCTTTATCCGCCTCTCTGTTTGGTACACTCCAGTAACCACCGCCCTTAGTGATACCCCAATGACCCTTGAAGCCGCCTCATAAAAAGCTCTGGCCCGCTCATTAAGCTGATCTTCATAGCGGTAGCGCTTATAGAGATTTCCTGGGCGGGGAATATCGACGACTGTAACGGTAGTGGTGGCGCCGGCGGGGTGTGATTGGGTTTCTCGTTGCTCAGGAGTCGCAGGATTTGCAGGACCGATTGCACGGCGAATGCGCAGCTCACCGAGAGCGCTGTGGAGTTTTGTCGTGAGCAAGGCGTCCTCCTCAGGCTCATTTTGCTGTGGATGCCGCTGCTGTTCCTGGTTGTGGGTTTCATTGACGTTGTCATGTTGATTCGTATCTGATTCTCGGGAAGTTGGAAACATGTCTGCGAATGGGTTCGCAGCTTGAATTATTTCATCACGTTAGCGAGATAATGATGCATATATATATGCCTCTTGTTTCCATGCAAAAGGAATCATAAAATCAAAATCAAAGATAAAAGAACATCAGGAAAAACATCAGGTAAAAGACCTACTGGCTCTTCCACCCCACATGCGCTCATACCAATCCAAATACTCATCAATTTGCCTCCCATCCATGTTAAAAACATCCCCAGCTCGCACCCCAATCTCCCTTCCTTTCACCTTCATCTTAGGCCCCTTCTTCCCGTTCCCCACCGCGTGTTCAACTCCATCAGTAAAATCTCTCTGAAACCCCATCCACGCCTTCCAATCCATGACCTGCGCTGCGGGATCACGCCATGAGTACGGATACCGCTTCACATTCGCCTCCACTCTTGGTGCACCTTCGTCCTTGCCATTGGCTTCGCCCTCTCCTTCACCTAGAATATCGTCGAAGGGATAAAAGAGCTTCACAGTAATGATAAGTAGAGATATAAGCTGGACTTCGGGGAGGTTAATGTATTGAAATTTCCTTCGCTTCTTCCTCATTCCATGTTTTCTTTTGATAGTACTGTTGATGGAAACAGAGCTGGCCGCGGCAAGAAATGAAGAAAACGTGAAGTCAAATCTTGCCAGGTGTTGTAGGCGGTTAAGGATGACGGGGAAAGGTTCGACTGTGGGGCTTTCTTTAGTACTTATTACATTCATTTGATGGAAGTAGGAATGGGAAAATATGGGCCTTTACGAGGCAACGAGAGCTGTTTTATATAGGTAAACAGCATGAGTGGTGCATTCAGCGGTGGAATTTGAACGCCGAATTCTTTACGGTAGAAAGTTGCTAGGTCTGAGATGGAGCGGTGGAGTTGGTTGCCTGTGGGGACGTTCTGTATAACACACGGTTACAATTTATCAGCGCGCGTTATATCCCAAGGTGAATGGGGGATAATATATATATTTAATCATACTTTCGTATCCAACGCATAGTGATATGCCGGGGGCAATCGATCCTTCATATCCTGCGGTATAAGCCGTATAGCCCTGATTAGGGGGATCTCATCTTTCAGTATCCAACTGCATTTCCCGCACACATGTACTTCCGTTAATATAGATGCATGCATCCCATGTAAACTCCGACTTGAAAATATGAAAACAAAAAATTATAGCAAACACACCTCTCTAATGCTCCAACCCCAATCGGCACCCTCAACAGCATCAAACCTAGATAACACAACGCTAGCGAATCGATTAACTTCG